CAGACTTCTATATTAGGAAATAATTTAATTTCTGCCAAATGTAAGAACTGACAAACTTACCAGAACCTTAGGCATTTAATTGCCAGTTAGTGCTTGGCCTTGTGACATTCCTGGATATTAGGATAGAGTTCTGATGAAAGCAAGTCAAGACTTGTTCAGGCTAATGTCGCTGTTTCCCCACAGGACATAACTGGGCCCAGTCTGTGACTCAGGATCTATTGGCAACATAGAATTTCAGACTAACTGGAATTTGGATGACAGTTACTGTCATCTAAAAGTGCACAGCAACAATGCAGTGTCTTCAAATAGTAACTGGACAACACAGAGGGAAGCTACCAAGGGACTTAAGCAAAATGTTCTCTATTTTCTACAAGTTTTTTTCATGAAAGAAAATTGTTGTAGGTACAAGATCTCTGACCGGTCTTCTATAAAGGCAGAGATTTAAAGCATAGTCCCTTCTCAAATCTAGTATATATTTTAAAAGTCCTGACTGCCAGGTACATATTCATCAACACACAAAAGAACCAAGTAAAGCAAACTTCCTACTCTACAGCTGTCCTTTCTAAAAGGTAACATGAGCAATACTGGACCAAACAGTACTGATGCCAACACTACACAAGGGAGTGTGCAGGGAGCATTTCAGAGAGTCATAGAATTATTGATACATAACAGATTCTGATTGTTGAAAAGTATTAAAGGCCGAAGTTAAGCTGAGAGGCCCAGAGGAAAAAGTATCAGGTAATTTTAGCTTCTGCGTTCCATTTCTTCCCACTATTTCAAAACCTAATTCTGTCATTCAGTATTCAAATATGCTTAAGCACGTCTCAAAACTGAAAACTCCTATTCTGCCTGACATGCTAGTGAAGCCAGGAGCCACTCCTTTTATCATGTCCAGACATCTCTGAAAACTCACCCCTGTTTTATTCCTTCATTCCCATGCCCCCCCCCACACACACACAGATATCTCTCCAGTAGTCTGCTTGCATGGTTGCCTCCAGGACGAAGAAAACCAAGGGATCATGTGCTTCAGTCTTCTTCTCTCTCACAACTCTTTGTGGATTTTGAAAATATGGGTTACTGACTCTTTTAGAAATGCATCCTCCTTTACTTTATGAAGTGCTGACTTTTCTACTTGGTTGTCGTTTTGCTAGCGTTGAATGTAGGCACGTGTTCTGCTGTTTCCTCATCTACTCTGCAGGACTTGTTTCTGCTCAAGCTCTCTCTCCACTTGCATTGTCTCTTCATTCTCTTACCATTTAAGCTCATTAACTTCATCATTTTTTATGGTTCTAATCATCGCTGATACGTTAGATTTACTTCTCAACAGCAGGGTTCCTAATTTTTAATTAAGCCTTCAGAAATAACCATTTATTTTTCAGTCTTGTAGTGGCCAAAGCAGACAGTCACACTCTATCACTAGACTTCATTTCATGCAACCAAATATGTTTTATTCTTGAACTTCAGTATGTCTTCCATAATATATATTAATATATATTATATATATTAACTATAATATTATGATATTAAATATTAATATATAACATATATTGGTTGTTTCATGGAACATTTTTACAGAGTTTTAGAAAACAGGATTCTCAGTTCCTTTTGTATTAGTAGCAAAACCTGACAAAATTAGCTAAATCTCATTTACAAACATGTCTTGGTTATGGGTATAATTACAAATTCCAAGCTGAAGACTAGTGATTTAAATGTAGTTTCACAGTCAGTTATATATTATTCAGGAATGCAACAAAACCATGATGCATGAATAAATGCTCAGTTGCCACCTGAGAATGTCCAAACTTCATTCTGTGCAAATACTTAAAACTCATATCTGATTAAGAATTATAGGTCAGGAAATTATTGTTGTTTTATACTAGACAGGTGGAGTAATCTTCTTGCACACTCATTTCACAATAATATAGTCTTAGACTCCCTAGCTAATACAGCCTCATTCTTTCCTTCTCGTAACACACTGAATTTTTAAATGACACCTTTAACATCCTTTTCTCCTCCAACATAAGATCACACTAAAAGCATGCATTGCTGCTTATAATGAGCACACATAGTCAAATCAGCTACTGAATTCACAAAGCTCAAGGCAAAGGAAAGTCCCATCTTCCGAATATAATTCAAACTGATCATGGCCATGACAGTAAGCCAAACATGGATCTCTCAGGTTGCCAGACAGCAACGCAGCACACATATCCATAATGTTCGCGTGTGTGTTTGAAATATTTACTGTTCTGACACTTGTCTAGAAAATTAAATCATACGAACTTCAGCAAATATCTGTGCACAGCATAATAGAATTTAGATCTCAGAGTGCATAGGAAGATAAATAGGGAGTCAGACAGACTGATAGGTAGTTGTCATTTTTAGTCAGGTAAAATGAGTATAGAGAATTAATCAAGAAAGTAAGTTTTCATCATGGATGTTAGCATACGCATAGAACCTCAGTCGTCAAGAGGCGTAAATAGGGCGTGCCAGTTCAAGACAGGCTGGGACAACAAAAAGATTAATAATTAACTATCTTGATTAGTAATTGTAAAATGTAAAAAGTTTAAAAGACATTGGCTAGCCTTAATAATTTTCTTTCTTAAGTCAGCATCCTACACACTATTTCATTGTCTCCAATTATGCTGCATTAATCATTTTTGTAATTTTGTCTCATTTCTTCATTCTTTCCTCCTCTTCCTCTTCCTCATTATATTTTGTGATACTGGGGACGAAACCTAGGGATTCTTACGAATTAAGCAAGCTCTCAACCTTTGAGCTGTATTGCAAGTCCTCTTTTTACTTTGCTATTTTTGAGGACATGGGCTCACTTATTTGACAAAGCAGGAATTGAACTTTTAGTTCTTCTGCCTCTTAGTCTTGAGTAGCTAGTGTTAAAGATCTATATCACTAGGCCTGACTTATTATTTCGTTTAACCATCAATATTCTGAAAATTCATAAAGCATTCATCCTTGTCAATCTATACGTTCAATTTATATTAAAAAGGAAACAGCCGGTTTAAAGAGCTGTGTTGATTTAAAAAAAAAAAAAAGATACTAATAGAGTTCCCTCATAATATGATGTAGTTTAAAGGTGTTCGTTTTCACATAACCATTAAAATTCCAAATGCTTTCTAAATGTTCTCCTCAGATGGCAGTCTGAACACTGAGGGAAAGAGTTCAATTAAAAAAAAAAAATCACTTCTCCTTTCCTGGAATTTTAGACACTTTCCTCTCATTTTCCTCAAAGTTTGCCTATTCACAAGCTTGCTTCTGTCAGGCTTTTTTATGGTTGTACCAGAGAGGAAGACGGATTTCCCTTTTTGCACACTGTTGATAGATGTACTCTGACTCTATTCTGAATAGCCCAATAACCACTGGGGGAAAAGCCCAGAACAGAAGCAGATAGTTGCTACTTGGACCCCAAGAAATTTAATACATTTACTCTAGCTTTGGCATGTTTATAGAATTACTCCTTAGCAGTCGCTACAGCCTCATCCCTTCCTACCTTTTATCTCCACATCTAAGTTTCAGTGACATTGTTGAAACAGCATAATCTTTCCCACCCGCTTTGGTTTTCTGACTTCATGTGCACCTCTTCCCTGTTTTCTTTCTCTTTCCTAGATTTCCCTTCCTGCTTTCCTGGACATTCTTTCATATTCCTTCCTTGAAACATTTTCTCACCATCGTAGTTCTCTTCCATCCTGTCACTCAGAGATACCGGATTCTAATCACATTCTAGATAACCCTTCTCTGTGGAAGGGGGCTGTCTGGGGAACAGGAGGAAAGGCCCCAGCAGCAGCGCTGAAGAGGAGTCAGGTCTCAAGAGAACAACAGCGCCCAGTTCATGCAGGAACTCAAAAACAGAACGAGGTGGCAAGTCAGAACGGCAAGTGCAATCGAATGTCCTGATGCTTCGAGAAGGACAAAAGGTTGTGGTGGGCAAGAGAGAAAGATCCTTAAACAGCCTCTGCAGCCAACTGCTGGCATTTATCTTGGACTGGAAGCATGGGTTTATAGGTAGAATGTGGAAAGTAACTATCAAAACAGAATCCACGGGCAAGAGCCCAATTTGATCCCTTACTTTCATACTCCAACACACTCCTTCCTCTCTGTCTCTTAATTGCTACACCACAACAGTATCTAAAGCTCTGAACCAACTCCCATTCAGATGTCAATTTAGGAACCACAAACTCCAGAAATCTCCCTGAGATTCCCCAGAGGGTTAAGGGCATACCGACAACCTTCCTTCTAGGATCTCCTGCTACACCGCATTACTCGCAGAGATTTCTTACACAAGGGATTCCAAGCAGAGGCTTTTTGAGGCCAGGCTGCAGGAGAGTTTTACCCCTTGTTCATCCAACCTTGTGAACTTAGCTCTGTTATTTAAGGAAGCCTGTGTTCCCACATCTATCTTTCAACTGCAGATAAGCAAACGTAGGCAGCACGGAAAGCTTCTGGTGCCACGATACAAGTAAAATGCTGACCACAGAACTGGCATAGAGCAAATTCTCGACAAAGGGTAGACAAGATTCTGATCTATAATCTCTCTTGTTACTGGTTGGTACCACCCACTTTCACCTAAGCTGGGTTCATTGGCAATTCAGGCCTATTACAAAAATAAAATAAAATCTTCAATGAAACAATCGAGATGGATAGTTCATTAGCCATGTTAGGAGATACACCCGTAGGAGCCAGTTACCCTGAGAAAATTCTATGTCCCCCAACTAATATCAGTTTTGGTTTTCCGAAGCTACCACCGACCTACTAGAATAGGTGGGCTCCCAAGAATTATTTTTTTTTTCTTAAACCACCACTGGGCAGGTGCATGGCACAGAAGACAGGGAGGAAAGAAACTAGTTAGAGAGCCTGGAGGGGCAGAGGGCGTGACCCTCTTAATCATTCTTCACTTCCCTTTTTTTTTTTTTTTTTTTTTTTTTTTTAAGATGACTTGGCAACGTCAGCCAGCCACAGCAGCGGCAGAAGTAGCAGCGACGCCTCCTCAGTGGAACTGGCTTGCAATAGCGAGCTTTCTCTGCCGCACTTTTGTGGCTTCTGTGGACATACCAGTGACCGGTGGTTTTTGCTCCCAGGCTCCCAGAGTTGCCAAAGCGGTTAGAAGTCATTTGGAAAGGCTTTCAGCCGAATCTTTCTGATTCAGAAGGCCAGCTGCCTTCTCCCGAGGTACTTTGGAATTTTGCAACGGCCGCTGATCCTGGTCCAGGTGCATGGGGAAGACGCTAAGGGCATAAACCCAAACATTGAACCTGAAGACCCGGCGCAAAGTAGAAACTGAAAGTACCCTGCTCACTCTACTGGCACATCCTACGGAAGTTATGGCAAAGCCAGAGCGCCTGGCCGGCCGGTGATGCATGCGGCCCCTCCTGGAATGGATGGACCAGGCGCAGAGTGGGTGAGAGGAGCCAGCTTCCCGGACTGCCCTGCCCAGCACCGGCGTGCGGCCACTCGGCGGATGACCGGGGTCTTGGGCGTGATTATGGGTGGTGAGAGCACGCTCCTGCTGCAGACCCAGTCATGATGACTACACCCACCTCCCGCAGACCATGTTCCATGGTAAGCGCCGTTCCCCGGTGCGCACGAGTCGGTGCGCCTAGCGCGCCGGGGACTCTGGGACACCCCGGGACGCGCCACCCGCCCCCGCGTCTCTGCACGTCCGGGAATAGCCCGGCCTTGTACTTTGCACCGGCTGGGACACGGCCTCTCCCATGGTCAGCCACTACCCGTGCTGAGCTCCGGTGGCCCAGAGCCATTGACACCTGGGCATACTGTCCCGGGCGGGCTGGGAGGAGCAGTTCCCGACTCCGGTTTTCGATCCCCAGACCCAGAGCTGCAATGCCAGAGCCACTGCAGCCAGGGCTCAGTAGTCAGTGGCTTTCAGCCACACACTGTCCCTAGCCAGCACCTCGCCAGAGCAGTCCTTCCCAGCTTCCTGGCTTTGCAAAGTTACTCACAGGCTGCCTGGGATCGGGGAGTCGCTGGGCTCTCGCAGCTCAGAACTTCTTAGAGAATGAAAGAGCTGCTCCCGGGATGCGCTTTTAAACCCTAAAGGACAGGTCACTGGAAAACCCCCTCTTCTCCCCTCAGTAAGTCTGGGAGTTTCCGACGGAGGCTGTATGTTGCCTTGTTTGCTGGGAACCCAGGTCCTGGGACTGAGATTGCAAAAACCCATATCCCCCTCCCCGCCCTTCTAGATATTTGCTACATAAAGAAGGCAGGACTATAAGTAACCCATGAGTACAAATTCTTAGCCCCCTGACCAAATCTAATGGTTTTGCATTTGAGTGAAAATAAATAAGGACTTAAAATGGACAAGAGCAGAATTGACAGTGGCTGGAATCCACTTGCAGCTAGCACCAAACTAAGTAAATAAACAAATGCTGTTAGAGCGGAGATAAGAACAGAATGGAATGCGAAGAGAGAGGATTTACTTGAGGAAAGGGAGATGTTTTACAGTAAATACTTCCTCAAGCTAAAGAACCTGTGGGGTCAGGATCAGGGAGCCAGCCCAAGGCTCGCTCTTTGGAAGCTCTGTTGTGGTTTCTCTGCCCACTCCCTTAGGTCCAATTATTTCCTCTCTCGTAGATACTAGGAACCAAGAACTGACCCAATGAAGAAGTGCTTGTCAGAAACCAAGTAAAAGGGATAGGGACTGGAGAGACTATGCAAGAAAATAATGGGAGACTATTTGTAAGGGCGCCCTCCAGAGAGTTTAATGTAAAATTAGAAACGGCGCGTCTGTTTTCTTTGCAATGCCCTTGGTTCTGAAATTGCTCCTTTCTACTTCTCTCCTGACTTTAATCCTTGAATTACACTCTGAGAAGATAAGAGGGCATAAGAAAGCAAAAGTGTGTGGTTTAAATGAGGAGGCTTTATTTCCTGAAATACAACCATATTAGCTATGCAACATAAGATGTTAATAAACAAAATATGAATGTGTGAAACGCTTGAAGGTTAAAGTGAGTGGCTTTCTTCATTTTTGTTCCGAAATTCACTAAAGCCTAAATTCCATCAAGTTGTGTAGTGAGCTTTTCTTTAGTTTCCACCCTGTTATTTTGGGGCAGTAAGTTAGTAGGGATTTGCCACCTCACCCTCAGTAGTGTTGCCTCATTTAAGAATTTCGTTGTAGACCTATGCTAATAAAGTGAAGTGATGGGAAACACATAGCATTGAGAAAAAGTAGGAAGCCTGAAGAGTTGTAAAAAAGAATTAAAAATTCACATAAGTGTGTACAGATCTTAAACGAAAGTGGAAATTTCTTTTATAAAACCAATCTCATGGTCCATGTGTATGAAGTGTTTTTATCTTGACTCTTGACAGATAACTTTATAATATGTCCAAATGTTTACTCTTTTCCCTAGAAATAAGAGCATTTGCTATAATCTCAGAGCTTGGCCAGGAAGCCCTTTGATGAAGTCCATGCAGAAGACAATGATTTTTTTTTTTTTTTTTTTTTTTTACTTACTCTGACTATGTGTACAAGCAGTTAGTTGTGGGAAGTGTAGTTCTGTAGCTAACAGCTGAATTCCCAGGCATGTCAACCTGAGGAGCAGATGTGAGTACTGCCTTTTCCTAGAAACTCCTAGAGAAGTATTCATTGGGCTCCAGACTCTCCACTGTAAACTATGAGTGACCTGTATATGTGAACATCATGAAGTGGCTGAAGAATTGAATTCTCATTTGAAGCAGACTTATGAAAGGACATTAAACAAACACTTCTTAAGGTGGATGGGGAAAGCCCCCAAGGCCTCAACCCTAGACAAAGGATTGCAAGCAACTAAGAAATGCTGAGTGTGGGAGAAATAGTCTTCCCCAGAGAACAGTGTGGCAACTGGTTATCCAAAGGGTCAGCACTGAAAACAAAAAGACAGGTAAGATTACACAGACTGAGCAAGTTGTATTTATGTAGTCAGGAATCTGTGTGTGTGTATGCGTGCGCACACACACACACACACACACACACACACACACAGTACAATTAATGAGAAAAGAGGCCATGAATTTGAAATAGAGCAAGACAGGGTATATGTGAGGGCTTAGGGGAATAAATGGATGGGAGAAATGAAATAATTATTTTGCAATTTCAAAAAGAAAAGAAAGAAACTGATAAATGATTGGATATGATGGACTGAAGAAGACAATTTATTTATGTCCACTTTGACCTCATAACTTAAGCAGCTGAAGATTGAATGTATTATTTGGCTTACATTAAAAACCAACAAGAATTTTTAGACAGCTATCATTCTGGTTTAACCAAAGTCCCTACTGAAAACAAATTCTCTAGTTTCAATCCCTTTGCGAAATTTAAAGACAATACTACAAGCCAACACTTGTCTGGTATTGTTTCTACAATTTGTCTTATATGTGACCTAATGAAAAGTTCAGAGGGAGGCTGAGGACTGTGCTACAAAACAAAAAGAATCAAATGATGGTAAAGGCTGGGTTCCTTTCCCATTGGGAAAACAGTGTTAAAATCACCTTCAAGCCAGAAAAATCTTAACTTGCTACTGTGCATGTATATAGAAGAAATAACTGTAATCAAAGAACATAGCGCACACGATTGATGGTGGGGCCAGGAACTTATGAGATATGAATCTTGGACCTTGGTATATTTATGCAATTATGCCTGAGGCAATTTAAATATGAAGAATTCCTCTATATGCATAATGAAATAGAATCTTAGAAGTTAAGATGTTTGAGAAATGAAAGAAAAGAGAAACATTAAGAGTCATTAAAACTTTTCATTTTAAAGATAAAGAACAGGAAGTTTAAAATGAAAGTCAGAGATTTGTCAGTCACACAGCCCATTTTCAAATCAAGACTAATCCTCCAGTCTCTATATTCTAAACGCTTGCTGTGTCGTTTTGCCTTGGTCTGTCAGTAATTATCTTATTTAATTAAAATAGTCTACAAATAAAGAACTATATTTTAAGACTAGTTTTAGAATTGAAAATTTTGGTTAGCACACACATGCCAAGAATATTCCATCAAACCAACACCACTAAGCACAGTTATAAGTTCATATGAATCTGGAAAATACATATTCCTGAAAACTGGCATGAAAAAGAAAACTAGTAATCTTAGAAAGTAAAACAAATTAACTTATTAAAACATGGAAAATGGACCTTTGAAATAACACTTATATATAGCTGTAAATTAAACTCTTTTCACTAATGAATTCATCACCTTTTTGAGTTCAAGCCACTTTCCCTATCTCTTCCTTTGTCTGCTCCCCCCAAATTATAAGTTTTGAAGACCTGTAAGGCAAAAGATGAAGTAAAAAGAATTTTGCTATAAAAATTAAGATAGCCATGATGCAATTGGTTAGTAATTGAGAACCAGATGAAAGAATGGTGATAGGAGAGGACTAGATAAATGGTAATATGAGGAAGTGGCTTTCAAGCAAAATATCAGTGTAATAATATGCTATCAAGTGATTATGGGCATTTAAAAATCAAATCCCAAGAAAATAGATGATTCAGGTTAACATCTAATCTTAACAACTGTTGTCTGTGTGCTACCAAAAGTAGGGTAACTTGAAGGTCTCTCTTTCCTTACATATGTAATGAAATATGTAGCATATATATCTATATACAAATATAGATTATCATCAGTGATGGATACATAAGAAGGTACATGAAAGACAGAGAGAGGGGGGAGAGAGAGACTTAACAATGTTCCTGGGTTATGGCAGTAATCCAATTAAAATTGGTTAGGATCATAATCATTGCTCTGAAATGAATTATTTAATGGAGAGTTGTGAATAGATTTCATGTCCATTCCTAGATTATTTCCTGAGCATGTCAAGCATTCATTAATGTTATGAAAATGTAAAGCTATGAACTATGAGTTTTTGAAATTAAAATATGGTTATATCATTTTCCTTCTTCCCTGTCCACCATCCAACCTCTCCTAGATACCTCCATTACTCTTCTTCAAAATTGTTGCCTTTTTTCTGTGTGATTGCATCCATATATAGAGAGAGAGACAGAGACAAAGAGACAGGCAGAGAATCACAGAGAAACAGAGACATAGAGAGAGATAGACACAGAAAAAAAACTTGATATTGGATAACCATTGAGGAACTTTTCCCTGTGCTTAGCATGACTCAGTTGCCTATAAGTTTTTTGTTTTTGGTTTTGGTTTTTGTTGTTGTTGTTGTTGTTTTTGTCTATGGGTGAGGTTCTATGATATTCCATAACTTCTATCATGCCCACTTTCTTTATTTGTAAAAACATGAGCTATAGTTTATGGTTAATTCTCCTGTCTTTTTTTTTTTTTTTTACAGAACTCAAACTGAGTGTTTTTTCAATTAATTTTAAAAATCTTTACAATATTTTTCATTTATCCCAATTGTGGTCCCTTCCCTCAATTCCTCCCAGTGTCTCCCTCTCTCCTTCTCCCCCACATCCCCTTCTCCTAGTCCACTGAACCATTGATAATAATATAATAGATGACTCCCTTGCAGTATCCTTTACGGTCTTGAAGCTGTTGCCAAGACTGTTGGATTTAGAGAAACATTGTTTAGACTCATAAATAATGAACATGCTCTGTTATAGGCAGTGATTAATATTTACTACTGGTTTATCTTTTGGTAATTTGCTGTTAGACCTAAACAGCGTATAACCAAATCACCACACAGAGACTGTGTTTATTTAGTTAACCTAGAACACAATGCTGGGCAATAGTTACTCCTCCTAAACCTCCAAGCTCTCATAGTTTCCTAACATTTAGATTTCCCACATTATACTTGCTTTTCGTTATATATTATGTCCAGTCCATCTCCATGTCCTTCCAAGATCTGTCCTCCAGCTCTCTCTCCTTGCCCTCCTTCACACCTTCTCCTCCCACTCATTTTCTGCCCTCTAGCTCCTCCCTTTGCACAACATTGTGGCTAGTTTTATTTTGGCCTGTTTACACACAGCTGAGACAGGATGCTCAGAGTAAGTATCACAATGTAATATCCAGGTTGAAACCAGAGAGTTGGGGTGGGGGGAGAAATCAGCATTTGAATGAACAAGGGTAAGGTGCATACATTTCAAAAGAACATTATACCAACAATGCTCATAAAATGCTGCGTATTCTGAAGGGCAAATAGAATAGAAACCAGAAACAGTTGAAGAGAAGGAACAGAATGGGATCCTTCCATAGATGTCCTCTGAAAGACTCTACCCAGCAGAGGGTTGAAACAGATGCTGAAACTCACAGCCAAACTTTGGGCAGAGCTCAGGCATTCTTATGGAAGAAGGAATAGAAGGACCCAGAGGGGATAGGAACTCCATAAAAGGACTAACAAAGCCAACACTTCTGGGCCCATGGGGGCGCCTACACTGATGCACCATCAAAGGACCATGCATGAAGAGGACCTATTCCCCCGGATCAGATGTAGCCTATAGAAAGCTCAGTCTCTAAGGGGGTTCCCTTGTAAGTGGAGCAGAGGCTGTCTTTGACATGAATTCTGTTGCCTGATCTTTGATCACTTTCCCCTGGCCTGGTGAGGCAGCCTTGTCAAGCAACAGAGAAAGAAGATGAAGGCAGTCCTGAAGAGACTTGATAGTCTGGAGTGAGTTGTTAAGGGAGGAGAGCTCCCCCTTTCTGAGGATGAAGGGAGCAGGATAGGAAGAAAGAGGAAGAGAGGGAAGAGATGAAGAGGGGACACAATTGGAATGTAAAGTGAAAAAATTAAAAAATTAATTTAAATTAAAAAATATGTATGCTGAGTATAAAATGTTAAGTATATTGTTAATACAACTGTGTTCATGAAAAGATGAAAGCAATACATGTGTATGTTCATGAAGAAATAGGTTAATTTTAATGTTTCCAGGCACCAATGGCTTCCATCTTAGTTATTTACCCCAGGTGATTCCATTTAAAATTTCATTCCTTTTGACTGGACGGTTGACTCTGATTGGCACAGCTTACCAAAGTAATCATGAACCATCAGCTCTCAGTTGACTAGCATGAGTCTGTTGTTTGAGCTTTTGCTAACAAGGAAGGAATCTGAAGAGAGCTATGCTTGAACAGAATATAGGTCTTTGGGAAAATAGATGCACAAAATAATGACACAAATAGAAAACAAAAGCATGATTTAACATTATCAGATTTGAGAAGATAAAACTCTCTAAGACTTAAAGAAATGTTCAGCATCCTTAGTCATCAGGCAAATTCAAATCAAAATGATCCTGAGATTCCACCTTACACCCATCAGAATGGCTAAGATCAAAAACTCAAGTGACAATATATGCTGGAGAGGATATGGAGAAAGGGGAACCCTCTTCCATTGCTGGTGGGAATGTAAACTTGTACAACCACTTTGGAAATCAATCTGGTGCTTTCTCAAACAATTTGGAATAGTGCTACCTCAAGACCCAGCTATACCACTCCTAGGCATATATCCAAAATATGCTCAAGTATACAATAAAGCTCGTAGCAGCTTTATTCTGGAGCAAAGAATCTGGAAACAACCCACATGTCCATCAACGGTGGAAGGGATGGAGAAATTGTGGTACATTTACACAGTGGAATACTACTCAGCTATTAAAAACAAAGAAATCATGAAATTTGCAGGCAAATGGATGGAACTAGAAAAGATCATCCTGAGTGAGGTATCCCAGAAGCAGAAAGACACACATGGTATATACTCACTTATAAGTGGATATTATAAATACAATATAGAATAAACATACTAAAATCTATGCACATAAAGAAGCTAAGGAAGAAGGAGGAGCCTGGGTAAGATGATCAATCCTCACTCAGACAAACAGGATGGACATCAGGAGAGGGAGAAAACAGGGAACAGGGCAGAAGCCTACCACAGAGAGCCTCTGAAAGACTCTACCCAGCAGGGGGTCAAAGCACATGCTGAGACTCATAGCCAAACTTTGGGCAGAGTGCAGGGAATCTTATGAAAGAAGGGGGAGATAGAAAGACCTGGAGGGAACAAGAGATCCACAAGGAGAGGAACAGAATAAAAAAATCTGGGCACAGGGGTCTTTTCTGAGACTGATACTCCAACCAAGGACCATGCATGGAGTCAACCTAGAACCCCTGCACAGATGTAGCCCATAGCAACTCAGTCTCCAAGTAGGTTCCCTAGTATTGGGAAAAGGGACTGTCTCTGATATGAACTCAGTGGCTGGCTCTTTGATCAACTCCCCCTGATGGGGGAGCAGCCTTACCAGGCCACAGAAGAAGACAATAGAGCCAGTCCTGATGAGAACTGATAGGTTAGGGTCAGGGAGGACCTCCCCTATCAGTGGATTGGGGGAGGGGCATGGGAGGAATTGAGGGAGGGATGATGGGATTGAGAGGAATGTGGGAAGAGGCTATAGCTGGGATACAAAGTGAATAAATTGTAATTAATAAAAAAATTAATTAATTTAAAAAACTCTCTAAGATCCATCATTACAAAGAACTACCATAGCACAAGCACCAAAGAGGTGACCCCCTCCCACATCACAGCCTCCAGAAAAGAACTGGATATGCCCTCATGAGGACTATGGTCTGTGCAATTAAACATTCTCTTGCCATCTTTCATATGATTTAAAGAATGTGTGACTTTAGGAAACTGTAGCATACCCCTTCTTGTAAATACCCTTTCTTTCAGGAATGTTTGACATAAACCCAATTACAAACCTGTCACCCTTCCCTCTCTGGAAGTCTGTGATTTCATTCTAGCTGTGCTGCCTAAATGTGGATACAACCTACACCCCAAAACAAAAACCCTAATCCTAGCCCAGCTGCTGGGCCTTAATTGTCATCAATATAATCCTAAAACTCTTTTTGTGCTCTGCCAGAATTGAGATGTATTTTCAAATTATTAGACGTAGGGTGTTCACCCCCGCTGTAAGACACAACCTCATGGATCGTGCTGTGCCATCTAGCACGCGCTCATTAATTGCTGGGTCCAGTTTCTTTCAGATATATCTTTGGAATTCCTCCCCTGATCCTTGTTCTGTTGCCTGTCACATCAGCCGACTGCCACATTAAGGATAGAGAAGGTAAAGCATATGAGAGTGTGCTGAGGATCAGCATCGACGAATTGGTACGTGCTTGTTCTGTTTTCCTTGCACTCTCACTTACAGGGAAATTAGAAATACGGTTTTGGTACACAGTTCTACCCACTGCTCTTTCTGACAAGAAAGGAGGTAAGCATGGACTAAAATGTAACTAGGAGCTATGCACCTTCATGGTTGGCATTCCTCTGTCCTTTAGGAATTAATCTTTCCTGGACACTGAGTCTCACACTATCCATTGAGGTCTTGTTTGTTTCCATTTTCTACCAAGTGAGCAGAATTCATCATTACTCCCTGTATTTGTTTGCCTCCTGTTTACCCTGTTAATCCTGGAATGTGCTTTACATTAGGAGACAAAATAATAGAATATAACAGCTGAAAACTGTGGTGAAAAGTAATGTATAGCTATTTTATCTTAATGTGCACAGTTGCATGTATATTCAGGTATATAGTTTTTACTGTGTGTGGCATATAATTTTCTCTAAGGTAATGTTCACTTGCTGTGAATAAATTATTTTCTTAAATAATAGGGTTTATGCCTTGAAGAAGATTTTGATTATGGAACATTTGGGTAAAAAGTAGAAAACTTCCATGAAACTCCTCACCCCGTGCAGCTCTCTCTATTATTATATAGTGAACATGTTACAATAGATGAACCAATACTAATATAGTTACTTTAGGCTTCTCTCTGTGTATTATGCACTTCTTTAGGTTTTGGTAGACACAGAATGCCAGTTTGTTGCTGATGACATTTCTTTGGGGTTTCCTCTTGAACAATAAATTAACTTGTTAAAGTTATCATGCAAGGTTGATTTAATAGTTAGTCCTACCTTTTTAGTGAGACCGAAGCCTTATGTGTCAAAGTCCCTCCCGAATGCTCATAAGACATTGTTTAAGATTTCATTCTTCTACTTTACTGTCTCTTCTGCATTCCTATATCGACGTGACTGGTATCGTAGAAAAATGTTTGCCTCGTGGAGAGGTGTGGAAAATGCAAAGTGGTTACTGAAACTGGAACACAAAGTTCTATGTTGTTTGCCAGCTGACTAAAGAGAAAAGGGTCCTCACTAAACAGCAATTTCCACATTTTCTATTTCATGATATTTGGCTATTGAGTCCATTAAATGTAGTTACTAAGTTGGGTCTTTTTCGTTATAAGATATGACTGATTTAATTGTATTACCTGTGCACATAAATAAATAGTATAATTTCAATAACGGTAAATAAGTAAAGCTACATGTGCAAAAATGAAAAGAGACAGGCAGGGAGGAGAGAGACAAGAAAGAAGAAATTGTCGGAAATTTAACAAAAGAGGTTTATTTAACCAATTCATGGCACATCTTTTCCTGAGAATCTAAAGTAGGTTATCTCGACACATTCAGCAAGACAGCGGCACATTCAGCAGCACTGGCACAATCCCCGTGGCAGGGCACAACTACTCCTACAGAGAGGTACCTAGAAGGCAGGGAGACAGCTCAGTCAGTCAGGCTGAGTAATGCCATGGCAATGTGACCATCAGGAAAAGAGAAGAGAAAGTCTCAGAGAATTGCTTCTACCAGCAGGACTGCAGAGCTGATTTAGTCACTCAGTGCATACCAAATACTAGACAGACCCTAGTTTATTTGCTTCTGAGGGAGACCTCAGTAGTGCTAGTTTTATAGAGATTGCTTGCTGTGATCTGCATCTCTTGCTATGTAAATTTGATGCTTAGAATTCTCAAAAAAGAAAGAATCTCTAATCCCATCTAATAGCATCTGTCATGTCTATCCAAGTCACATTCCATTACTCCAAAAGAAATTCTGTACCCACTAGCAACAGCTGCTAGCCATTGATCTCATTTCTTTCTAAACAGAATTAGTTCTCCTGGGCATCTTATATAAGAGGAATCTGACAGTACACAGTCTTTATATTGTACTCCTTTGAGTTAGCACAATGACCCTAAATGCTTCCCTCTCAGAACATTTCCTTTAGTTGTGCCAGTTATTTGTATACAGTTGCTACAGTAGTTTATGATTCTGCATAGTGCTGTGGTATCGGTTGTAGTGGCTCCTTTCATAATTTTGATTTTATTCATTTAGTTCCCTTCTCTTTTTCTCTGACTAAACATTTGGCAATTTTGTTTATATTTTCAAAATATTAACTCATTGACTTGATTTTTGGTTTCTGATTTCATTATTTTTTTTTCTTTGGTTTGTTTTCTACTAACTTTCAGCCTTTGTTGTTTGGAGTCTCTGAGGTGTATTATTAGGTTGTCTATTTGAAAATTTTCTATTTACTTTTAGTATATTCATTTATTATTATAAACAAATAACTAATCAAAATGTACCTCATAGATTGTGATACCTATTGCTCTTCTTTTCATTGACTTCTAATTTAATTTTATTGTGCTATGTGGACAAGATATAATTGCTTTTTTAAAAAAATTATAATTTACTTGTAACCTAACATATGATCTATGTTATACCTGAGGTGGGGGGGGGGCATTTCCACAACTGTTTGATTAAGCAAGCTTTATTTAGAGGTGCACAAGGGAGGGCAAGATGGTTGCCTCACCGTAAGCTGGGATTCGAGAGAGAAGCCCTTCATTGGCTTCTGAGGACTGTTTTATTGGGAAGGGTTAGGGTTGGTAGAAAAAAGCCATGGAAATAGCTGGCTGTCAGAAAGGGGGAATAACGAGTGCAAGAACACACCAGGTGGAAGAGGAGTCATCAAGTTATCTGGGAAGACACATTTTCGTAAGGAAAAAAGAAAACCAATCACATATCATATGTAGGTTCAGTTTAGCAAAGCAAAGGAGTGGGTGTTCATCACGGAGTTACAAGCTCGCCATAGGATGAAAACGTGGTTTGCAGTTATACCTGCTTAGAAAGAAGAAACTTACTCTTGTAAGTTTTGGAGACTTAATAACAACATATGACAGTATGGCTCCTTAACGAGAGTGTGGCTCCTGTTTTGGTTTTACACTTGCTGTTGATTTGAAAATTAATTTCATTATGCCCTGAAAAGGTATATGTTATGATTCATTTTTAAAAATTATTGATTTGTAACCTAACACATGATCCATCCTGGAGTATGTTTTGTGTCCCAGGGAAGAAAATGTATATTCTGCTTCTGTTGGATGAAATTTTTCTAAATATCTGTTAGGTCCTTTCATTGTATAGTATGGCTCAACTCTAAACCTTACTTGCTGATTTTCTGTTTGAATTACTTTCCTACTCTGAAACTCAAAGGTTGAAGTCTTAACTCGTATTGCAGTGAGTCTCTACTGTTAGGTCTATGAGTATTGGCTTTATGAATTTTGTAGTTCATTAGTGAGTATATATATTTATAATTTATATGCATCCTGCTGACTGATTCCTTTATCAGCATATTATAATCCTCATTACTTTCTGTTTCTTTGCATGGTTTATCTATCTCCAACACTCTAAACCTGTACTTGTCTTTGCCAATGAAGTGGGTTTCCAACATACAGTTGTATAAATGGGTCTTGTCATTGTTTGTTTATTCAGCAAATCTGTGTCTTTGCATTGGTGATGTACATGTAAACATATTCAAGGTTATTATCTATACCTTTAAGTTCCCTTTAGTTGTGTTGTTTTCCCTGATTTATAAGATAGTTTAGCTATTTAGACAAGGTTGGCAGCAAATTCATAATCCTGTGGACTCTGTTTTTCAAGTACTGGGATTATAGCTGTGATTTTACAAGCCATTTTACGGTCGTCTTGTTTGGTGTGTCCTTTATTTCTTCTTCGATTAATTATCTTGTAATTTGGTGCTCCTCCATTTCTTCAAAGTTTTATTTTCTCTCTCTTGTGATTTGTTCTGCCTTTGAAAATGTACAGTGATATATTTTCAGAACAGTAGTTAACATCTTTGTTTCCAGTGAAGGACTCTGGTCTGGTGGTGGTAAATTCTGCCAGTTTTTGGTTTTCTAGGAAAAAAAAACAAAACTTATTCCTCTTTTATTTACAGATGATAGATTTGATTGGTTATATTAGTCTTGGTTGGATGTGGTTTTGTTTTTTTCTTCAGAGTTTGAATATCTCATTCTATTTCCTTCTGGCATCTATCTATCTATCTATCTATCTATCTATCTATCTATCTATATCTTTAAACTCTACTGTCAGTCTAATGAGATTTTAGTTATATGTGACTCTTTTCCTGGACTGTTTGTAAGTGCTATGTGTCTTCTACTTTCACATTTGCATACAAAATTATACAGAAGAAGGTGTTTTTGAACGAGTCTCGTCAGGATCCCTTGAGCTCCTTGGATCTGGTTGCCTGTGTCCAAATTTAAAGATGTGAGTACTCTTCAGCTTTCATTTTCTTAAATGATGTCTCCTTGCTTCCTGTATATGTGCTCTCCTAGAACTTGTGTAATATAAATAATTGTTCATTTACTGGTGTCTTGAATATTTTTATATTTCTTTATATTTTAATTGTCCTTTTATTTCTTTCATTTTTTTTCTGTTGTTTTCTTAAGTTATTCTGTCTTCCAATTTTAGGAATTTTTTTTTCATGTTTGCTCTTTATGCTTCTTTATATCAGGAGAAATCGTAAAGCCTCTAAGATTTCTGATGAGTTGATATGATTTCTATTTAATTGTGTCACCTCTCCACATCCTCTTGTGTTTTGCTGAGATATTTTATCATCCTAATTTTATTTTATTTTTTTAGGCATTTTGTATATTTAATTCCAATTGCGATCTATTCCTGGAGAATCAATCTGTTCTCGTTGGAGGTATCCAAGCCAAAGTTCCCCGGCTTTTCATGATTCTTAGGTCCCTGCAGTGATGTCTGGACATGTAATAAAACACTTTTCTTATTTTATTGAGTATGTTTTGGATGATAACAATGTTTTCATTTAAATAAGATGTGAGGTTTCAGTTGAGCCTCTGTCAAAGTCCAGATGACTTAAAAAGTTTAGTGCCCATGTGATTTCTTTAGGTGTAACCAGTGTCAAATAGTCTATGAATGACTTGATGGTCTAGATTCAAGCAACTCATGAATGTAGTGGTTCATCTTTTCAG